CTTGAGACTGAGTGAACCCGTTCACACCTCACCGTTCACACTGTCAGAGTCTTTGTAACTCCCACCACGTTACTGGATGGGACCATGCAAATAAGGTGTGTAGAACTCTGATGTTGGGACTGGTTAGTTCCATCACTCTGCCAGGCTTAGAATGAGCCCGCCTAGAGGCACAGGGGGCTCTCCCTGCCAGCAAGAGAGAAGAGCTGGAGGCGAAGTAAAGCACATCTTTGGACCCGAGCTCCCTGGGCTAGACCTCCCTGGCAGAGACGTTCTGGTGAGACGCCGGCAGATACCCAGCTGAGAGAGACACCTGGCAGAAACGCCCGGCTGAGATGGCGGCAGTGGAACCACGAGTCATGAGACAGAGCAGTGGGCTTGCAGGCCCATGAGCAAGAAAGCCGAGTGCCTTTGGACAGGAGACTTGCTGGCCCAGGGGATGCAGCTAAGCAGGTGTCCCTATTGGTAGAGCTAAAAGCTCTGTAACCCAAGCAGGGCAGAGGCCAGGCCGAGAGGCAGAAGGCCAGAGAGGCGATCCTGGGAGCATAGCAGAGGGGAGACTGGCCTGACCAAAGAAATGTGTCCTGAGTGTGTTCCTGAACCTGAATTGCAGCCTGTCACTTCCCTAAGAAACCGCATCATCGTGAGGATTGTGAGTTCTGTGTGGCCACTACAGTAAATTATCAAACCAAGTAGAGAAGCAGTGAGTGCCGTGGGAGGGACGGCTGGTGTCAGAGTTGTAAGACGGCGGGAGGGTGGTGGCCTGTCTGCCCTCAGAGGACTCAGCACTGGGCCAGTGATGGTGACTGTTTCCCCTTCGTGAGAGCTAAGGAGGACGGAAGATACTGCCTCCTTGTCCTTTTTGCATTGTCCTAACCGCTCTGGTAGCATAGGGGCTAAGGCACTTGACTGCTAACCAGAAGGCTGGCGGTCCAAACCCACCAGCCACTCCTCGGAAGGAAGATGGGGCAATCTACTTCCATAGTGATACTGCCTCGGAAACCCAAGG